GGCAAAAGGAGGTTAAATTTAAGAGGAAGGACAAGGATAAAAAGAGGGATGAAAAGGTAGTTGAAAAAGGTGTAGTCGGGATAAAGCTGGCTTATGTTTATTAAGGCTCAGCTTAGTAAAAACGGTGAATTACTTTGACGCGGTAAAATATTTTATAATACAAACAGGTAGAAAATTTTTTTTTTTGATCGTTCAAAATATCGACAAATATTTATGAAGTGAAGCCAGTGGTCCTTAGAGTAGTAAAGTTTGAGTTAAGTTGTTTATATGGCTTACTTAATACATACCTGCCATCTTTGACGAGATTCAGAAGATAAAGAGTATATATAAAGACTTTTTGATTAAGTTGCGATAGTTATCAATTTCTTTATAGTATAGAGAGGAATTTGAGACGGTTGTGTGGATGATAACTGTCACGGTAAAAGAAATCTAAGGAAATTTTCATGAGTATTGAGATTAGCAACCTATTTATTAAGATCCGAATTTCTGATCTTTTATCGGGTAGAAATCTTTTTCATTGGATTTTCAAAAAACTAAAGAAAAAGGTTCGCAACGAATTTCTACCTCATAATTCAAAATATCTTCACTTGATTATGGTAAATTTGCCATAAAAAAAATTATCTTTATCAGTTAAAAGATCCGCAGTTCCAAATTACTTCGACGCGAATAAATACCCCTTTTAAGTATCATATCAAAATAAAATATCGGAATTTCACGAGTGATAGAGTTAGCAACATGAGCCTGTGACGTATGCCGAAGTATTTACGATCACGTGGTATCACAATCGATTGATTTTTGCCGGTTTTTCGGCAGGTTCAATAATTATCGGAAAATACTCGAAAATATTATTGGTTAAAGATACTTTCACTTAAAAAGTAAGTGAATTTTTTTTTTGGATAAATATCCCGCATTTTTCAAAAATTTCTGTTCGTTTATCATTAAGTTTATTTTTTCAAATATTACAGATATTAACTACGGTTTACTTTGTCAACCCTGCATCAAATTACTGTAGGATTGAGTTTCCTTTTTTTTTGATTAGCTAGAACTCAAAGTTTTCGTTAGTTTAACATATTTTCAGATTATTTTTCCTTGAATAGTTGTTACACTTTCAACTGTTCAATATACAATCCGTGAATAGAAGATATTGCTGTTCTTACTCATTTACTTCGCAAGGTTACTGCTACTTGGTAACCGAGATAACACCGACCATGTCAGGAGTTTCAAAAAATCCAGATCCTATACACCAAAATAATTTCAAACATTTAGCAGAACTTAATAAACTCACTTATAATAGGGTCAAAGAATTAAAAAATCGGTTTCCAAATGGCCCTAATAAGCACCTTTCTCGTGGACAGTATTGCTTACAACCAGATTACATACCACCATTCGATGAGTGGGTTTCATTTACAGAACATCCTCCTTCACCACAGCCATATTGGCATAATCAACAGCAATCATCACAGCAACATCAGCGAGGGAATTCACAACAGTCGATAAATCACCAACAAGGAAACAATCAACAGGCAGGATATCATCAGCGAGGAAACTCACAAATGCCGGTACATAATTCTCAGCAAAAATCGCAATCACAGCAAAAAAGTACGCAACAACAGCCTGTTCCTAATCCTAGCAATGCCGTAACAAATGGCCAAGCTTCCGCGCCAGAGAAGAAAGTCAACTTATCTCTTGCTAATATGCTCTTTAGCCTTGGAATTAACAATAAGAAGTTTTTACACGACAAAGAACTAAAGGCACTTGAAGAACAAGGTCGTCTATCAAAAGAGGAAGAACAAGGTCGTCCTCCAAAGAAAAATGGTGAAACGAACTCTGCTGCGGCAAGGTAATAATTCGTTCCCAAATAATCAAAATTTCATGATTAATCAAACCCTTTCATTATGATTGATATTTGCTCATTACAATATCATGATTATAGAAGGACTCATCCGCCATCTAATCAACGACAACGAAGACACGAAGAAGTGCAAAAAGCTCCTCAAGTAGCAACTAAAGTCGTTGCCACAAAAATTACTGGAAAACAACCTGCAACAAAAAAACCTACTCTCGAGGGGGGGGGGGGGGGGCACCTTCTTTATCAGTTTCAAGTTCGGGTAGCGCCCTATCATTGAATAAATGTCAAAATTTGCTCGAAGTAGGTAATTTTTTTTAATAAATGTAAATAAAAGTAAATGTGATTAAATATGTAAATTGTTTTACAATAGGCATATGAAAACATCATAAAAGGTAGAAAAAAGCTCATCCTCCCCAAGGAGGATGAGGTTAAGAAGCTCACCCGTAAGAGGAATAAAGACAAAGAAGTCGCTATGAAACGACCACAAAAGCGGCCTGCTCTTAAGGGTAGAGGTAAGGATAAAGTCGCGGATTTGGACGAAATTGTCGAGACGAGCAATGTAAAAGAACCAGCACGACCAGAGCAATTCATTGTTACTTTGAAGCGTGGTTCAAAACGTAGCCGTGATGATGATGACATGGAAGTGTCTTCAAAACCTATGACGCCAAAGAAAAGGAAGATAGAGGTTAATGCGACCGTTCAAACCGGAGTTGATCAAGCTGTACAAGTCGCAGTAGAGACAAACAATCAACAGGTTCAAACTGATCCTCCTCCTCTTCCTCCTCTCGTTATTTCGGTCGGAGTACAAACAGACAACGGTATGTCTTCTACAAATGCTTCCTCCTCCAACTCGATATCAACTTCGGCAGAAAATGATCAAGTAATGAAAATGGCTAGTGAAGCTCACAAACGTTACGAAGAACTATTTAAAAAAGCAACGAATGTAAAACGTCGTGGAGATCAGAATCATTCAAACTTCGTGAGTGACTATGCCGAGGCAGCGTGTTTTTACGCCGAAGCATTCTACGAACAATTAATCGCTGCATCACTAGGACATGATGAGAATGTTGTAAATCCGGCCGGGTTTATGAACCATGTCATTAATAGATTCGATAAGGACAAGAAGATCCAAGCAGCTTTCTGTGGGTTAAAGGCCCTGATAATAAGAAGATTTTTTATTTTTGAGGATAAAAAGGTTCGTCCCTTATTAAAAGATACCATTTTACGTTATAATGAACTAATCGAGACGACCGGAAGATTATCAGAGCAAAGTTTGGCATATAAACGTGACCATTATACCAAGTAATTTTTTTTTTCGTTTTAGGTTATTTATTTCATTTTAATATTTTCTAATACTTAAAATAAAAATGTGTATTATTTATTAGAGCTCTTAGTGAATCGAATAAAGTAGAAGACATGATAAGTGAATTCACAAAATATTGGGATAGGGCAACAAAAACATATAAGCAACTTGGATTTGGTCTAGATTCCGATATTAAAGTTGCTGTTGATTATGTTAGAAGTTTGCTAAAAGAATGGAGCAGAGATAACGATTCCAAGGGCAGAGAAGTAAAGAAAAGCGCATCACAAACAAAATCAAGATCAAATAGATATTAAATCATGAAATCGTCGTATATAAACCTGATCTTTATAGAAATTGTGATGTATATTTGCAAGAAATTTATGAACGAACAATAATTGTTATTATTGCACCACTTTATTACTTTTATTATTATTTTATTTTTGCTGTAATTTTTGGCATTTTTTTTTTTAATGTTTGTATAATTTATTTTTTATTATTTTTATTTTTATTTTTTTTGGTGTTTTTTTTTGGTGGAACACTTTACATTTCCCTATTTTGTTGTAACAAAACAAAAAAGTTAACCAACATTGAGGGACAAAATTTAATTGTAATTATCATTATGATGAGCATTGAAACAAATTTATTTGTTTATGTAAATATTTTTTATTTTTAGAGATTTATCGTCAATAACAAGATAATATATTGAGCACTCAGGGTAGTGTTCGAATATACCGTATTTATTATAGCAAAGAATTGGTTGTGGCGGTATCAAAATAATTTGTAAATAGTTTTTTTTCTTTATTAAAAAAAAAAAAGTTTTGCATGAAACAAAGGCTTCTTTATATCATGATGATTTTCGATTTCGATGATTTGTTTGACCGAAGATAAAAAAAAGTTCTTATTAAACGTGAATCTTACTAACCAACTTGATCGAAATATGTGACGAATAAAAAACGTTTATCCAGAAATGATAATCTAAGGTTATCAATTGACTTATCGAATTTGTCGCACGAATTTAGGTAACAACAAATATCGATCCTCTTATTTATAAATAAAAAAATTAATATATACACTGAATTATATAAATAATAAATGGGTTAGTTTTTATTGGTTTGTCATGTGACTTATGATCAACAATCTGACATTTGATAATGAAACAATACGAAGAAATATTGCTGGAGTAATGTTATTAGTGATCTTCAGCAATTACAAGCTAATGTTCAAAACCAGGTAAATAGAACGATAGATAATATAGCAAGAAAGCAAATCCATATTGGTAAATTGCTATGAGAAAGTTTTCTCTTTATGGTTATTATATCAATGAAATGCTAACCGTCTTCATCAGTTGCAAACTAATGTCTAAAGCTAGGTAAATAGAATGTTAGTTATTATGGCAAGAAAGTAAACCTGCTTTGGTGAGTTGTTACATGAAAAGTTTGTTTTTAAATTAGTAATTAGGCAAAAGAATCAGAATATTTTAAATTTTCAAGAACAAATTTAGCATTACAGAATAATCCACCTAACCAAATAAACATAGTAGGAATTCCTCAACCATTTTTTAACTGGAATAATGATATTCCAGATTTTGTGAAACTTAGAATATACTTACAAAATCAAGGTGCAAATCTAGCAGATAATGCAGGTAGTTCACCAACTGGAAGAAAGGTAGAAATAGGGTATTTAAGAGAATGTATGAGAGGAAGAACCCTAGAATGGTTTGATAAAAAGATTACTATAAAGGCAAATTGTGAGTTAACTAACCTGACTGATAGTATAAGACAAGCCAATTTGGTAACAATAAATAGACATACAGCTTTTCAAATAAATGCTGATAAATTAACTGAGGTCGCAAGATAACTTGAAAATATAATTGTCAAATTAAAAACTGTAGAAAATCCTTGAAATGAAGACTGGTGTGTAATATGAAATCATCTTACTAATACTTCTGTTAATTTAACAAATGTTAGTAATGATATTACAGCAGTTATAATTGATATTTGATTTGGCCAAGCTGTATAGTGATTAAAAACTCATTCCCTACAGTAGAAGTAAAATTTCGGAATATAGAAACGTTTCCAGTAAAATCAAGTCATAAGGTATAGTAAATCATATGATCCGTAATGTGATTTTACTGGAAACGCTCCCATATGATATATAAAACAATTATGAAGGAAGATATGATTATCATTAGTTAAAGTAATTTTTTTTAATTATTAATAATGCAGTCTAGTCATATTATAAATTAAAGAAAAACCTAATAAAAAATACTAAAATATGCAACTTATCTCTCATGATTCTATTTCAAACTCATTTGAGTCGATTGATTACTGCCACTCCTAAAGGAAATGAAAATGAAAATGTCAGAAAGCAACTAATTTTTAAATGCTCTTTGATCCTCTAACTTTTCTCAAAAGAAAAAACTAACACTAAAAATAGCACCAAAGTAAGGAATTAGTACAAATAGAAATTTTTAAACAATTAAAAACAACTTTATAAGTTTTAGCTAAAGTCCAGTCAATTCCAGCTTAAAGCAATCATTTGGCAGAAGAAAATGCATTCAAGTAACTAGATCCAAACAAAAACTTTTCATATTTACAGATTCATAAGTATAGAAAAAATATCACATAAAATCTATTATGAAAGAAATCTACAGATATCTGCAGGTAGACACCTATACCCAGTGTTATATACAGACAATATTCGCATGATTTAATTTAGACTTGAATAATTTTAGACAAGTCTGGTGATCCATATTCTATGATATGTCCAAATTAACAATTGTTATATAGATATGTTCAGATAAAATTTAATTGTCTAGAACATTATCTAAATGTCTGTGTGATCAAATTTTTTTTGCTTTGAATCATGCTACTATTACCTTTTATTTTAGACGATATATTATTAAAACTGATAAAAAAATAAATAAATGTAATATTTAAATTTATTGCAAACCCTGTATGAAAGTTTTAGAAGAAATAGAAGGGGTAAAGAAATGGTTTTCAAATAAAAAAGACCATATCATTATACATTTAAAAAAATGTGTTGATTTTATTACTGAAACAATATCTGAAAAAAGAGAATAAATTTTTGAATTAGTATAATATAATAATAATAATTTTAATTCATTACTTGGTAAAAGAAAAGGTAAATAAATGTTTCTTTTATTTTTACTTGACATAATTATTTTTTAATAAAATTCACTTGACTGATTTAGTTGAAAGATTATTTATTACAGTCTTTTTTTATAGAATCTACATTTTTTCATGAAACATTATCAATTTTGCATTCAACATCATCAATATCGCAATTAATATCATTAGAACCTAAAATAATATAATCATATTATGGACCAATAGACAATTTTATTGTTCAGTCTCCTCCTTATACTTGCCTGTAGACTGCCTTTGCATTAGGTAAATAATTCCAAAGCAAAGGAACTCTTTAATTTCTTAATCCATTTTTAAAACTTCCTGATCGTTGTGTAATTAGTAATTGAATTTTAAAGGAAACTGTTAATGAATCTGATAAAGCAATATTACAAGCACTTTAAAAAGATCAAATAGGAATAACTCTTATCTTTAATAGATGGACAAATGTTTGAAATGAACAATTATTAGGTATAGTTATTCTTACATCAAAAGAAAGGCCTTATGTGTGAAAAGCAATAGAAATTAGTTCAGAATGAGAAACCTATACATCTGGAATTTAAATGTGGCGTAATATTCCGTAGATTTACGATTTTTGTAATATTTCAGAGTATTACGTTGTA